TCCTTTGCGCCCTCGTTGCGGGTTGCAGGTCACGTCGCCTCCAGCGGATCAATAGCCGGGTGATGGACTGGCTCGGCTGAGCAGAGAGATGCTGCATGTGCGAGAGAAATTACACCAGCCGTCGTGTGCGCCGGGTGGGTGGGAGACAGGCAGGCGTGAGATTCGACCTGAAATACGTGGTTTCACTCATTCCTCCGGGGAAATAACCTCTCAGCTAGCCACGTACCTGCCAAGGGCTCGGAAGGAGCCTTGGGGCAGGGTACACCAGCGACGCTGCTGGTGTAAGCACTGGTGAAAGGCTTGAGAAAGCCCTTTTTTTTTTTGTGTGCGCCGGGTGGGTGGGAGACAGGCAGGCGTGAGATTCGACCTGAAATACGTGGTTTCACTCATTCCTCCGGGGAAATAACCTCTCAGCTAGCCACGTACCTGCCAAGGGCTCGGAAGGAGCCTTGGGGCAGGGTACACCAGCGACGCTGCTGGTGTAAGCACTGGTGAAAGGCTTGAGAAAGCCCTTTTTTTTTTTCTTCTAGATTATCTGTGCTGGCAGCTGGAGGAGCCAGCGGGACCGCGGGCAGCCCCGTGTGTGGGTGGGTGGTGGCCAGGCTGCAGCAGGTTGCGTTCTGGTGCCGTAACGGAGCGCTGGATCCCGCCGCAGACGTGCAAAACGAGCCCAGGGGAGGGCTGAGAGAGTCCACTCTGGCCAGAGTTTGTGGCTTTTATTAAAAAAAAAACAGAAGGTTTGCTGCTCTTTAGTCTGTGTCGTTGCCGCGGCGGGGCTGAGCAGCAGGAAGAGGAGGAGACCTGGAGCACTCAACACGTAGGAAGCCGCGTCCCGTTTTTATCACTTCACTGGATGAGTGTTGTTTCACAGTTTTGTCCCCTCATCCTGGAGTTAGATCTTGGCCTTTTTTTCCACTTGTGTGGAACTGAGACATGAAATATAACATGTCCGTTTTAGTAATGATCCTGTAATGCCTTTTTTACCCTGAGGGATCCCTAGGCGCTTTACAAATTAGGTCTCAGACGCAAGGATCCTTGAAGTGCAGCTACTTCCAGGCTGAAATGTAGACGTTGTTCTGAATTATGAGAGGAAAAAATACGTAGTGGTTTTTTTTTTTTCCTGCTCAATATTCCTTCCCTTTCCTTTTGGTTATAGGGAGCGACCAGAGAAGGAGGGGAGCCCCAATGACCTGGTGCTGGAAGCCCACCTCACCCCCATCCAGCGGGCTTCAGAGAGCTGAGACTCATATAACTCTTCTCTTTTCTCTGGCCACAGACTGCTTGAGTTTATATTTGGGGCAGAATATTGCCCTTTTATCCCAGCTGTTTCTCACATACACCCTTCAGCCCCCGGCGCAGGCGGCTGAGGTCCATACTGGCATCTCACGGTGTTCCCAGTAGCTCCCAGCAGTGTTGATGTTGGCCCCACGCCACTTGCTGATGGCTGGCTTTCCGTCAGGCTCTCCCTTGGGGTTTTGGTTGAATGTTCTGGTGGATTCTCAAGATATCAGCGGGAGGGGGCTGTGGGGAGCTGGTAGAGTTTGCCTCTGGGCGTTGGCTGATGGGTCGGTCCCTCTCTGAAAGGCTGTCCCCATCTCACCCACCTTGCCCTTTCTCCCGGCTTAACTGGGAGTTTCTTCAGGCTGAAGGGAGAGAAATGGTCCCATTTGCTTCAGGCCACCCTAGGAGATAGTGGCTGGCTGGGCACCTCCGGGACATCCACAGCATTTCCAGGAGCAGAGCGGAACTGGCTGCCTCTGTCCCTGGGACTGTCAGAAGGGCCGTGGCGAGGTGGGGAAAAACGGTCCCTGCTCTCAGCGTGTCTTGGCGCAGGCGGATGCGTGGAGATGCCAGGAGTTTGGGGTTTATCTGGCCTGGGTATGGAGTGTGACTGTCCATCGCGTGGCCGCGCTGGCGGGCAGGTGGCAGCCGTGGTGGCACACCTCTTCTCCCGGTGACGGTGTCCTTTCCCTGCTCCACACCTGCGGTCGCAGGCAGAAAGCCTCACCTGCTGCCTGTTCCTGCCCAGAGATGCTGCTGCTAGCACGCTGCGTGCATCATGCTTGGTTAATAATTTATGTCAGAAGCGGGTACGTCAGTGGAATTTATTTAAAACAAGGAGGATCTGACAGTCCGAGCGCTCATCATGCTCCAGCAGTCAGAGAAAGGCCTGGCTTTGTGTAAAAGCAGCTCCTCCACAGCAGAGGGGCTGTCCCCAGGCTGAGAAGACCCAGTCGGTGTCACCCTCCCTGCCTGTGCCACCAGGCAACCCTGGCGTGGCCTTTTCCTTGCCTCTTATGAGAAGGGATAAACAAATACTTCCTCCCCTCCCTCGCAGGAGGGCTCTGAGGCTTACGGCGTGTTGGCAGAGGGCTGGCAGGTCTGTGGGGTGGACGTGGCAGAGGGGTCCTGCTGGAAGGACGGTGGTGGTGGGACCGGTGGCAGGAGGCACACAGCCCTCCCAGCGCTTGCTCAGCCCAGGTTTGAGACGAGCATCCGCAGCCCCATCCCTGCTCCGGGCATTTCTCCGTGGTTTGGCATTGATACTTGTGAAAAATGACCAAACGTCACGTAATGGATTGCTGGAAATAAACACCTCCCGGCAGCCGGGCGGGCACAGGGAGCGCCTGCCGTCTGCTTCGGTTACCCGGCTTTCAGGGCAGGGAACCTCCCTCCGTCCGCAGAAATCGCGGTGCACATCCGCGCCGAAAATCATGAAACCGCCAAGCAGAGCCGACCCTGGC